GTTGTACACTGAAATATGCGATCATCATTGATTATAAAATATATTAATTATACAACAAAATAAATGTATACCAAATTGGGAACTTATTTATAAATACTAATAATAAGTAAAACAAAAAATAAATTTAATTTAATTTGACTGTTCAGAAAATAAATATGCTTTGATGTACCTACCTATTATTATAATTGAATTTATAAATGAGTTAGCTCTTAGCTATCAATGTCTATATCTTCATTACGACGGACAAACAATAAAGCAAATATCGTTAAGACGATTTTGTTTCATTGTAGACCTTAAAAATGTTTTTAATCTTCGAAGTGCTGAAAAAGATCACAGCTAGAATTGTATTTCAATAGTCGTTTGCTAAAATTGTCAAAACTTGGATATAAATACACTCTATACATTTTCAATATTCTAATGGGTGCCCGGCACCCCATAATAATTTTAATGGGTGCTTGAGCCCCCGGGCACCCATGTACCTGGCGCCTATGTACTTGCTACTAACGCGGGCCGCGTCACAACCCTTAATTATTATTATTTCAGCCCGGCCTTAAAAATTGTACAAAAAAAAGCTCGGCCCCTTTCCGAAATAAAATTCCAAGACTTAAAAAAAGCTCAGCCCAACTCTCGATTTATTATTCAAAGTCCAGCCCAGCCAATCCAAAATATTTTACAAAAAAGAGCTCGGTTGAACAATTTATTTCTTTTTAAAGGCCCGGTCTGGTAAAATGTCACTACTTTCTTTTATGAGAATTTGAGACGAAAACAAGTTATGATTATCATACATTTTATATAATTGAAGATCAAAAAGTCACTTGCCAAATGTGAAGAAAAATTTGTTTATTTATTTATATTATATTATGTAAATATGTATTATGAATTAATAATCTCAAAAAATCGGTTAGTCTAATCATTTATTATATATTATATTATAATTTATAACTAACTAATAACTTTTCCTTAGGTAGTGTAAAATGTTTTGAGCGCAATTGGTATATGAAAAGGTTATTTTAAGCGCAATTGGTAAGCTCCCCACCGTGCAAGTAGATCACGACATCGATGCACATTTCGAGGTTCACAACTTTGAATTACTATAGGTAGTAGGTACCAAGTTTATGTAATCATTATAAATAGTTGCAACGTAAAGAATTGTATGTAATTTTTAAATTGTATACCTACCTTAATAATTGTTATATATACCTAGTTGTAATTGTTGAGCTATAAATTATAATAATTAAATATTGGAAGCTTATTACAATAAAAAAAAAATAATAATAATAACATAATCATAATATTATAAAATATTCAAGCTACTATTACTAAAGCTAATTAAATGTTGTTTAATTTCCTGCAATCGATATCACAAACCATGTATAATGACGTTCGGAGGACGAGAATTATGTCATTATAACCGATGGTCATTAAATCATAATAACCGAAATTAAAAAAAAATAAATATTTTCAAATAGTATGATACGCATTCCACTAGTATGACTGTAATTATTTATTTCTTATTAATTATAGGTATACCTACCTGCCTTGGTATGGATTTTTTTTAAATTTTTAATAAATTATGAACATTATACAATACTATACAATATTCAATATTATTATTATTATTTATTATTCATATTTTTTATCAATAATCGATTACCTCCAATTATTTTTAAATCACAATCAATAATTATTCAAAAATAAATAATCCTATGGACACTCAACATTTTTCACCAAATGTCAAAAAGGTCATGTTGAGTTTTTTAATTGCATAAACAAAATTCTATTTATATGTAAGATTTGAAAATTTCAAAGTATAGATTTCCCATAAGTTTTCCTGTCTTCAAGAGACAAAAGTTTTTTTTTTATGAGTGCTTAAAATTCAAATTTTTTTGATATTAGATATTATTTACCCATAAATTAACGAATTATCATCTAACGGGTTTCTTAATTTGTTGTAATTCAAAAACAAATGACCGTAAATACTTCGAATTTAAACCAAATTTTTAATTTATCATTTTCTATACGTGATAAAATTTTCAAAATATTTTGACCTATTTTTTGGTATTCGTAGGTAGACATTTGAAATTTTCAAGTCCGAGTGTCACTACTCAACTACTGATCAGATGTTAGGCAATTCGTTAGGTTAGAAGCCTGAACATACTTCGGGAACGGCTGGATTAGTCGAAATGCAATAATATGTAAAATAATATACTTACTAAACATATTGAAATTAATAATATGTATACGACGAAGTGACGAAAAACGAGATTGTTATATAATTGGCGAGTGATGACGCTCACACTTATAATAATAATAATATATTCGGCAACGGTAACTCGTAAGAATTAATTGTTACAGTCGTATGGGTTATCTTGTAGTAGTCGGTTCAATTATTCGTACCTACGGTATGCTATAGAATTAGTAATATGATTAAATTCCACTCAGCTTTTAAACGTCCCGATAACAGTGTTATCCAACACCTAGTATACATTGCGTCATGCACTCATGCCCATCACCTGGGTTCGATACACGTGAAGCCTTCACAGACTGTTTATTTGGTATATCCCCCACATAATATTATAATCGTTCTCGTCAAATGCAAACCGTCGTGGGTAATATATCGCCAGTTGTCATCGGTCGCGAACGCAGTGCAGAATAGCCGGCTGGTGAACCTATATATATAGTATTTATATTCGATATTTATAATATAATATATTATTTTCATCACAACCTCAAAAGGCAAGTAATTTTCTTATAAAAATAATCTAATGGTCTCATATTATTTACTTCCAATATCAGTTAAAACACTTATACATTAGTTATATTTAGTAATACAGTAGGTTGAAATAATTTTTGCCAAAAAAAATTGCATTTGAAAAATTTAATGTCATTGTGTGTATATTATATAATAATACATTTTAAATGGAACAAGACCCACGAATAATATTTATTATTTTGAAATAACAATAAAATAACTCAAATCGTTACTCTTTTTATGAAATTTGGCATTTTTGTTTTTTCTATAAATTCGATAAAAAATTTTCAAAAAGTGTGAAATATATAGTACAAGGTTCCTCATATAAGTATTTATTATATTATTTAATTAATAAATAGTTTTTTTTATGGTTTTCGAGTTATCTTAGAATAAAATTACCTATTAGAAAAATTATAGAGGATAATAAATTTAAGGCATCGGTGCAATAACCTAGTATGTCTTTTCATATAAATGTTTTCAGAAGACAAGAAAAACTTTCTGTTTTGGTTAGACTATTTTTAAAATGGTTGAAGTGTTATAACAATATTTGGAATTCAATACATTGAATGTGATGGATACGATTAGAATTGATCAACCAACATCGAACCAATGTCATGCCAACGTCTCAATAATTACAAAATTGTTCAGCATTTTAATTTTAATCGTTGTAATAGCAAATAACTTCCAAATTGTAACTGTTTATTGTATCAAATTTTAGAGAAAAATATTCAACGTATCTGACCATCAAATAATAATATATTTTCTTATATTATATATATATTATGTATATTTTTGAAATTAATGTAGGTACAGTGTAAAGGTAACATAATTGTTAGAAAATTAGCCAAAATAAAAAAAAAATCTACAAAAAAACAATATTAATATTTGCTTTTATTACCTACCTATAACAATAACAAAATATAAGCTATACTTTATCAATAAAATAAAGTTGTATCCAGATTACTTCATTGTCAGACTTTATAACTTAAAATAAAAATATGTAGGTATTCAACAAAACAATATTAATACTTTTTTGTATTCTAATCGTAACAAAATATAAACAAAACTTTTTCAATAAATTTGAGGGTATGACATATCTGTTTTATATTTTATTAATATTTGAATTTAAAAATAAAAGAAAAATTGTAAATTTAAATGTTCCTTAAATCATTTTTGAGATAATATTTACACAAATCGGTATGTCAAGCCCTCAAAAACATTATTCTCTATCGTTATTGTAATGGGGGTGATTTTACTCTAGGATTACTCAAAAACATAAAAAATAGGTACTCTGCGTAAATGAGTTTTGTATATGTTGCGTGTGGGCCATAGAGAGAAAACAAACAGTGCGCTGACGGAATGTTGATGGAATTCGATAATAAAACAAAGTTAAAAAAATTAAATTATTTTTATGTAATTTAAAAAATATTAATCTTAGATAAGTACTGTAGCTTTATTTCTTCTTAAAATACACTAAGCCAAATTTTCATAATACCTAAATAGATTAATTTTAAGCTATTGATACCACGTAGGTACTTATTAGTTATTCATTTCATTCTTTGATACATTGTCAATATTGTATTACATATAATATGTTAATATCAGGTACTTTGTAGTATTACGTTTATACAAATACACCTCATTAATAATTATTAAACAATTGTTATTATAGAATATGTAGTTGTGTGCAAAATCTGTTCAACATACCGTATTATACTATTTATTAATTGAAAAATAAATTACCTATAGCAATAGTATAAATTGATAATAAAATACCTTTATAAATATAGGCTAAAGTAACGTCTTCAATCAAAATCATTTTTCTTATAGCTACGATGATTTATATTTGTATTAAAATTTAACACATCTATTAAAATTATATACTCGACCTCTAATCTCTATTATACTATTATACAGCAGTGGTATTTTAAATAGAAATAAAGAGGTAATGAAATTAAAGATTTATAAGTTTTGTTTTTAGTTATTCATATATTAAAATATATATTTTCAAAACATCAATTAACTTGATCAAAAAGCTTGAGTGACCGGAATTCTCCGCGGGCTGTAGGTAGGAGACCTCGTGCTATACATCAAAGCTACTTCTCCAGTTTTTCAATTATATACTCTTAGAATGGTTCATTTATTAAATGTTATACATTTATATAGGTATAAAAGTGCAACGCACGCATTTACGCAATTCTCTTATGATAACTATATTTGTTCACGCAGTTTTCCGTGCTTCGTCGACATGCAGGATTCCACGGTGTTCAATATTAAAATGTACCTCTTGGACGGAAGTTTTATCAGTGGAATTTTGCCATACGTGGAGTACGATAGCGTCATGAAACATCCACTTTGGGGTTCTAATTTGATTTTGAACAACGAAGAAGCTGTTGTTAAAGCCCACAGAGACTATATCAGAGGTTCGTTATTGTAAAAAAAATGCACACGATAAACTGCAGTAGAATGTTTTTTTATATCCACTTTTGTGTTACAGCTGGAGTGGAATTTCTGACCACCAACACTTACCAGGCGAGTATCGAAGGCTTTAAAAAATACTTGAACTTAAACTATGATCAGAGTTTCCAATTGATTAAAAAATCTGTCACGATTTGTCGGCGAGCAATAATGGAAGAAAGTTCTGGTGACTATCAATATTTTTGTACTGATTGGTGATTTAGGTAGCGAATAAAATCATAATATTGTCAAAAATATCGATGTTTTTGCACCGGGCTCTATTTTAGGACAATTTCTAGGGGCTCCCTAGAAATTCCAGATTTATACTTGTGTGTTACATATGATTGGGATTACTCGGCGTTATCCATTATAAGCAGGGTATTTATTTATTCGGGTTTCGAGTTTTCGGTGCTGCATGTATTCGGGTGTTCAATCATCAGAATAAAAAAAAATTAAACAAGCTTTTGCGTGTTAATAACCGTTATTATTCGGGTTAATATTAGTTAATATGGGTGTTAAGTAGTTCGGAAAAAAAAAATATTTTTTTATAGTTATTTTTGTTGGATATTCTTTTTTTTAATTTTAATTGATTAGCCTCCTCAAAAAAGATAGTAACCTGTAGCATTGTCACTGTAAAAACTATAAATTATACTTATAATGATCGGTCGCTGACAATACATATTATTTTATTAGTTGCTGACACCAGACCATATATACCTGACTATCAGATATACGTCAACACGTCAATATTTTATATTTATATTTCATTCTACACTTGGAACTTAAATGTATTCCATACAAATTAAGTAATGAATTATAACTTAAACTGTTCAATATCTGGAAATTTGGTTAAATCAGAACCTAATGATAGAATCCGATTTTATTTTCTAATTATTTTAAGAAAATATTTATAGTATTTACTATTTACCTCCAAATGATTGTTATGGCCTAATATTTGTATTATATGTTAAACAAATAATTAACTACCTACAAAATTGAACTAATCACATAAAAATGTAAAATACATACCTACACAATTATATAGCACTTGGAGATTGTAAAATTAAAAAACTATTTGGGTTTCGGGTTAACCAGAATGTTTTATTTTAGTTTTGTTGTGAGTATACCCACACCGATATCATATATTTGAATGACTTTATAAGAGGTTGGTTCTAACATTTTGCAAATCTCTGGAACAATTTTTTTTTTCATCATATCGTGTTATGATGATTCCTGGGCCTGACAGCATTATTTGTCCCTGGTTTCGAAAACTTTGGGACGGCTATGTTAAATTTTACTGTAACTTAGTTAATTTACAGGGAGGACAATTCGAATAATGGGATCTGTTGGTCCGTACGGCGCTTCACTGTGTGATGGTTCCGAGTACAATGGAAATTATATAGGCAAAATTGATTCAAAAGATCTGTACGATTGGCACAAGCCTCGGATCCAAGCCCTAGTTGAGGCTGGTGTCGATGTAGTACTTTTTGAAACGATTCCTTCGATCGTCGAGGCTGACATTTTGCTAAACATACTGGCCGAGTATCCAAATCAAAAAGCATGCTTGTCGTTCTCGTGTAAGGTAATTTTTTTTAAATATTACAACCCACCACCACATAGGATAACTTATTCAAAATCAGAACCATATTGTACCGAGTGTTGACTTGATTCAGAAACGCGGGTGTCACTTAAAAAGGTTTTCTTGTTATATTAAAAATATTTGTGATTTTTTTTTTGAACTGATATTTGTATAATTTGTCTGTAGGACAGCAAACACTTAAGTCATGGAGAAACATTTGCAAGCGCTGTTGAAAAGTTCTGGACAAATGATTCACGGAAACAATTAATTGCCATCGGCATGAACTGTATGGACCCAAAACTCATAACACCACTTTTGACGTCCGTTAAAACTGAGAATGTCGATTTCATAACTTATCCAAATGGAGGTGGAGTATGGGATGCCGTTAAAAAATCGTACGTGTAATTACTAGCTACTATATGTACTCGTATTTACTCTTAATTTATTTTATTTATTAATTTGATATATTTATATAGCTGGGATAATACTCAAATGTACCAAGTTTCCATCGACGATCTAAACTTGTGGAGTGAAAAAGGTCTGAAAATAATTGGAGGTTGTTGTAACACTGGTGTAACTGAAATATCGCGTATTAGAAACTTAATTGACAATTTATCTTCCTAATACAAACACCTAAATATGTATTATTATTCATTTTTGAAATAATATTAATTGCAAATTATTCTATTGAATATACGATATATCATGCTGCAATATTTCTTTAAAAATATTTTATAAAAATAAAATATACGTCTATTGGAATTAACTCAACATACTGACTATAATATCTTTGTATTACCTTATAAATAAAACTACGTAAACACCTCGTTTCAATGTATTACCTAATGGCGGGATTCTCGATTGTACCTATATCATTTAGAGTCCTTATGTGAATTATAAAAATAGAAACAATTTTCACTTATTTACACATAATATTATATTATATTATATTATTATTATTATTATTATTATTACATATTATTTACCACATCCTATGGCTCAATTTTCTTTTTATCGAGTTTTTTTTTTATTTTTGCGTCTGTCATCACCTTTTAGAACAGAAAAAATGCTTTAATTTTTTAAACTCTAAAAAATTAAAATATAATATTGATGAACATTTTACTGAATGTTTATATTAGCAATTTCTATGCACCAAACCATTCTCGATTATATATTGATATTCTTTTGAACTATTGTTGCTATTCAATTCCTCTTCAAAAAACTCGAAAATGTAACACAACGTTCCTCATAAGTTGATGTTATAGTGAACATTGAAAAAAAAAGTGTTCTTCAAATGTTTATTTTATCAATTTCTATATATGATCACATTTTCAAAATGTTGCTACTCGTTTTGAATTATTTGTGGACATTTGAAAGTTGAAATTTGTAAAGCAAAGTACGGTCAAGCACTACAGTTTTATATAGAAAGGACGCACTCCGTGTGACCGTGATATTGCATCTGAAACGGATACACGTGTTTCACTATTTCAGACCACTAGAGCTGGGGCTTGTACGCGGATACGGCTATCGAAGATCGTGAGTTCTACTAAAACGATATTTTATTAAAATAGATTAAAATTATTATAACACGTAATAATATATTTTTATATTACACAAAAATATTATGCTCCGATATTAATTGTATCTAATGATAATAATTTCCACCCTTCTTAGCTAATACGTTTAAAATGGAATAACAAATATGGGTAGGTACATAAATAATAAATTATATTAAGTTGGGTACTATTACGATTTACTAAGGAAAATGTGTTAAATTTATTTACCCAAAGGCGATGTTATATTAAATAAGTACCTAATAAGATATTAGTTGAATTAATTGTTAATACAATTTTACCTGCAGGCTACGGTAAACCAAATTGAATTGATAGTATAATAATCGGTCAAGTGGTAACGCTCTGTTGAACATTAGGTGTCTAGACTTCTAGAGAAGTTTCTGTAGTCTGTAAGGACTGTAAAGGCATTACTCATTATTAGTACTACAGTAGGTTAAATTAATTTTTGTCTAAAAACAGGGCTTGCATTTAAAACAAAAATTCCGTTTTATGTTATTTACAATAAAAACGTTACACAATTTTTGAGTTTATCATTATTTAAAATAGTGTTTATACCTATTAAATTTAAAAATAATAACTAATGTCGGGTAGCCGGTAGGTAATAGCCCGGATAGGGAAAATAATATAACAAATTATTAGATTGTTAACATGAAATAAATGTTTCTACGAAACCAATAGACCTTTTAAATAAATAGATTTTAAAATATTTCGATTTTCGTTATTTTTCGTTTAATGATATTCTATAAATTCGTTTTGCGTTATGTTTTGTTTAATGATATAATATAATATATTTTGATTATCACTTTCCGTTATAATTACGTTTACAAACTTCAATCGTTTTTTGTCAATTAGGTATAACCATTGCAAGCCTTGTTCTAAAATTACATTTGAAACTGGCATTGTGTGTACTGTGTATAAATTATAATAGAATAATTTAAAAGTTTGAAGTACACACAATAATAGTTTTAAAGAAGTAATTACAACAAAATAACTAAAATCGTTATTCTTTGTATCTAATCATAGATTATCTAATATCTAATTTCGTCCAAATTTGAACTTATAATATCTATAAAAACAGTGTTTATATTATATTTTTTAGATATTTTGGTTACAGTATGAACTATTTGTGAGAACCGTATTTTAAATTTTTATCCTTAGCTATAAAAATTGAGCATTTTAAATAAAATGATACATTTTTAACTACAAAATAATGTACACATTTTTGAGATTTTGATGAATTGTGTCAACATTTGCACATTAAATATTGATGAAAAAAAATTCGTATATGGATTTTTACCTTGTATTTGATTTTCAAGTTTTTGACCAAGCGAAAAATTGTTATCGACAATATTTAAAAAAAACTAATAAAAATAGAGATTTTGTTGTGGCTTGGCTTCACTCGAAAATATTCCTACTCACCATCCCCTTAAATAAGCTTCATATTCGCCCCTGCAATGAGTTAAGTTGAGGTATTCATGATAAGAGCTATCATTTTATAGAGTAATATATTTTCCAGGAAATACTAATTTCACACAATCTCATTAAATTATTGTGAATTTACAATAAAGTTTTAATTTCTTAGGATAAAGGCAAACAATTTTAAATTTTAAATCGATGGAAAATAATTAAACTTTAATGGTTTTGAGTTTATTATTATATAAACTATTTAAATCTTTTAATACATTTTCGCTAAGTCCCGTCCAATCGGTTTATGCAAAATGCCAAAATTGGTGACTATTATAACAGCTATATAACGGCTATTATAACTATTATAATGGACCACCATTAAACTTAATGAAGATTGTTTATTTCAAACTACAGAATAAATTCTCGTTGCAAAAAAATAAATAATTAAATACCTACAAGTAACTTACATAATATTATAGGTAAATACTGAAATACTTATATATTCCACCATTTTTTTGCAGTAAGTACATTTATTTTGTAAACATTTTACATAAACTTTTATCACTAGGTATATTATAATATAATAATAATAATAAATATTAATTTGATCCCGATAAAAATTCAAATATACTAGAATATATTCTAATAGTTTATTAGATAATTAGTTACGATTGCATAATATAATTCAACTAAATATTTAAATACATCCGAATTGTGTTAGTTCTGATTAACTTAATACATTATTATTCATCACTAAAAAACAATACAATTAATAGGTATGTCTAATATTACAAGTGCGTTAAATACTTATTAATAATTACTACCCTAATATAATAATTTAAATTCTGGTAGGTATTAGAACATTGTTTTTACGATTGTATAATATTATATACATGACTTATGAACATGTATGTGTACAAAACGAAGTTCCAAAATATGGAGCTATAAATATGATAAGGGGAGCTTAATTTTAGACTTATCACGATCTTAATCCCTTTGATTTCTTTTGTTAGAAATATTAAATATATATAATATTACAATGTTTATAGTCTATGGGCATAATACCTACGTACTATGCATAGTAATTAATAATATATAATCATCATATATATATAACATACCAAATAACATTTTTGGTTGTTTGGCACTAAAAAAACATATTATACTTTAAACATAAAAATTAACGCTATTTATAATCTTATTTCATAGAATTAACAGGTACCTATATAATATTACAATGTATAAATTGAAAAATATTAGTTTCACTTAGCTAACTTAATATTATAATATCTACTAAAATCGAAACATATTGCCAATTAGTTCCCTTATAAATGATGTAGTTATAGACCCCTAATAGCTATGTAAAAACCTGTATTCAAATTATGCTAATGATAACCCAAAGCTCGTTACTTTATTCTTATCACAGAACTGAGTATAATAAGAAATAACTAAATTAAATTAAAAATTAATATGGAAAATTTTGGTCATAATAAAGGCCTGGACGGCTACCTATTTTAAAATTGACTATTCATTGCTATTAAATATAATAAATTATTAGCTAGGCACTAGACATTTTCTTACTAAATCTATCATATCTGTGAAGTGCTATTTAAAATTGTGACGTTATGAATTAAAAGACAATTTTTTATTAGTACCTATTGTCATTTGAAAATTTTCGTTTTCACTTATAGGCAAGTAGTGTAATTGCCTATAATGTTTTCATCAAACCATTAAAATAATAATAAATATCACACAAAATACGATTTTATTTGCCTCGAGCATGAGCACGGTGCAAACATGCAGTCATTAATTTTTGAAACATAAGATAGAAACACATACGTTTTTGATCACATGATATTAGAGAACATTCAACCAAGTTTTCGGCGGCCGACAGCTTTAAACGTCTTAAGATATTTATTAGTAATAACCAACTCGGTGGTTGTTTTAAAAGCTGCAGTGAGGTGACCAGCCGTTGTCATAGGTGAACGCAAATGGTATAAAAAATAAGTATGACAATCAGTGCTCGAATTGGGAAAAAATGAGTACGAAAAGGAGCTCAATCTATCGATTTAAAAACTAGTATCCAAGGGCGCAATTATTCAACACAGACCATACAAAAAATAGTAGCGGTACGCAAAAAAAAAATAAAAATAGTAGAGGAGCTCCGTTCCCCTGTGCACCATCCCCCCCCTCGAGCACTGATGACAATCTGAGTGCAATATCTATATATATATATTACTTTTTTTCTATCGAGAATCGATATCGTTATGGCCGGAATTTAACACTAAATTAGTAAATACGTGACGACTATATTAAATTAGGAATCACAGGTTTAGTTTAAAAATAATAAAAACAATTGTAACGACTCTATGCCCATATACTCACAAACTATGTTTGTTTAGATCGGAGCAGTATAGTGACGTTCCATACAACAATATTATAATAATTTGACCCTAGAATCGTGTATAATAAGGTCAGGGCTTGACACCGTCTTTAATCTTTATAACAATTTATTGATTACAAATTTTCTACTAGTTCGGTTTATATGACGGATTTTAACATCAGTTTCAAGCCCTGTAAGAACCCATTCGTACAATCACATTATAAAATTTATCAGTTTACCTATCTATAAATAACAAAGAT